GTAAGAATGTTTAGAAAACACCAACGTATTAAAATAAAACTAGATTAAATGTAGCAACTGATGAAAATGTTCAGCTTACTACAACCGGTAAGCATTATGGAACGCAAGCAACCAAAAAATATTGCCAAGATGCAATTGACTCAGGCATCACTATCCGTAAATGTAATTTCTACCTGCGGGAGAAAAGAAGGTCATTTATTAACAGCATTAGATCTCCTATAACAGGTCATCACAGCGGGAACATACACGTTTGCTACAGTATGTACTAATGAAAAGTGGGAGATTCGTCTAATGGCGAGTGATGGGCGAATAACGAAATGATAAACTGTTTTAACACTGCGTGTTCTCTACAAACTGAACGGTAACACCAAGAAAGTATGGAGAGAGTGGAAAGCTGGCAACTACTCTCATTCCAGCTTTAACCTTGAACTATGATTCGCTCCTGAGCATCATATGAACAGAATGATCAAATTTATAGACCACAAAACTAAGACAATCATCCTAATCAGAGTCTTTACATTGTCTGATCCGTACGGCAAACAGCCACGTTTAATTCGAACAGTACGGGTTCGTTTCCCTATAACATCAACCGTTTATGCTAGAAAGAGATGCAGTGGGAAGAGATTAAAATAAACATGTCAAACTTAGTGTGAAGTTCTCCTCAATTTTTTCGAAGTAGTCTCCATTTAAGCTGAAGAAGACTCAAACTGGTATCGACCAGGTGTGCTCGCTGTGTTTCCAGGTATCGGCATTCAAGTGCAGCATATAGACAACGATGCGACGACCGGGAAGAATCCATCTGCGAGTATCATCTCACAGATCCATCGGCAAACGACCAGGAAGAAATCGTACAATTCAGGAGACTCAATAGTCCCTTGGCTACTGGATGTGAACTCTCTTTATGAAAACGGACATTCTCTAGCTACTGGATATGTTGACCACGAAGTGTGTATTTGCATGCGTTTTGTGTGTCTGAAATAAACCTTTCGATATGGAGACGCAGGCGAGTGACACGGTATCAAGGGTCACCAAACGTAACAGGCATAAACTCAACGGTTACATAAATTCACTTTAGGACATCACTCTGTTAAGACGGATAAAGCAATATCGCAGAATATGCATATAAAAATTCGATATACCGTGTCATCCCGAAGGTTTACGTACTTCTGAACTGACCTGCCGCAGAAATGACTCGAATTCGGTTTGTAAAGTTTCAGTGCCATTTATATTTTCGAAATTTCATTTTCGATACACGCCAGTGTAAATTTGATCCTTTACGTTTTTGCTGTTCAGCAAAATCAAATATGCGCATACTAAGCTCCCCCAGGATATCGGGTTCTATTTTGTCACTTATTCGTCTACGGATCGTTGGAATCTTTTACGGTTGAATATAGTTTTGTTCAACTCAAGCTTGAGATGCGGTCCTGCGTCCTGTGCATTGCAGGCGCTTAAATACTATGGAGCCTTGACCTGCTTAAATGGTCCTCCTAGGCGTCTAGAAGCAAGGGAGCGGTGCAGGAGAGCTGGCTGGTGTTTTTCTTTCTTTAAACTGTGCATTTTCGTCGTTTCAACCCGGTATTATTTTTTAATGTAAACAATACTGAATATTCACTTTTTTGGATTCTGACACAAGACTCATCTTTTTCTTTCAATACGTTCCGTGAAATATTCTGAAGACGGCTTCTGAGCCTGATGACGAAATGTCGGATTACAAAAGATAGTAGAATCTTGCCTCACATCTAAAACGATTTGCGAAAAACTGAAAAGTTTACTATGACAATCTATTCTCCTATCACTTCTACGGATTTACACGGTGCAGCGCCCCCCTCCACTTGCTTCTAGTAGCGAAAGGGGACGGTTTTAGCAGGCTATGGCTTCATAGCATTTTAGCGCCTGCAAGGTATGGGCTCAGAACAGCACCACTTTTGGGTCAAACAATACATCTTTCGTCTCAGTGCGTAGGGATATTTAATAAAATTTAAGTTTAGAGAATCATTTATTTTAAATACTTTGAACACATCTGGTTTTGCTGACAAGCATAGTCGTTTGGTGGTTTTATTCCAATAGAAAATTTTCAACTGTCATGCACAATTAATGCATTTTTTGTAAATCGGGATATCTTATGTCATCAACGGAAGCTGAATTAAGGCACTTTCGGATCTAAAAGGATTGTATCTTTCAGTCATTGCTTCATATTTCAAATCACAAATAAAACACGTAGTCTTTCGTCATACCCTAACTCCATACTGCTGATGAATCAGCTTCGTGTGAACTAGCTCGGGACCGCGAATCTCGATCAGTCGCTTCGTATGCTTCTTCGGAACTTCGTTGACGGAAGCATCAAACACCGGCACTTTTGGAACTTGGGGCAGCTGTCTTTCACCGGAAGGAGGAAAGTAGATTTTTTCTAAGGAAAAAAGTCGTAAATATGTGATTCGCTAACCAAATCGATTATAAAAAACCTGGATCAAACTGCAGACCCGGGGGAGTCAGATCTTTCAGACCGGCTGCACAGACGGATGCTAGCGAGGTGCGAATTCCTAAACAGAAAATGAGCGCAATGATTGTGTTATCATTTCAAAACCTGGAGAAAGCTTAGGGATGTGGCAGATTACTTTTGAATCTAGAATATTTCTTGTTACTTAGAAGATGAATGATTTCTCGGGAGATATCTGGTACCAGATACTCTGACTTCCTAATCATACAATCATGATACGATTAGAGAATAACAAGAGCGTTAATATAACATCGCAAGTAATAATAAAAAATACAACAGTATATTGCATAAGCTCTGAGACAAAAGATAGAGCTTTTAAGCAAAACATCAAGAATGTAAACAAAAATAAAGCAGGAAAGCACTAGTAAAAACAGATTGTACCACTATGATAAACGATCATAAAGCCAACAAAAACGAAACTTTTTCAGCAGAGCAAGTCCCGACGCTTCTGAGTCCAGATGCACAACAGACCGCATAACAACAAGTCGTAGATGTGAAAGTGTAGATGGAAGTGTACATCGACTTCAATGGTCCATCAGAACTCTTGCGATGAAAGAAAAGCAAGAGACCACGGTGCATGCGAAGAACACTTGAGGATAAAAATTTCTTATATGCAAGACAGAATAACTGCGGGTCAAACAGCGATGCAGAAGCCAGCAAAACCACGACTCACGCTGATCATTAACCAAAACACCTTACGAGTGCATTAGAGTAGTCAATCATGATTTAAACGATCAATTCAGTTAACAGAGAAACCATAGCCCCACCTTAAACCCACTTCCCAGAATCTAAATACTTAAGGAATTAAAT